CATGGCAGTGGGATTTATTTACAGATGTTCACAGCGTTTGCTTTCCAGGGACTTTCATGTTTGGGTGTAGAATCAATAAAGGCATATTAATTAATTACAAATAATAGCAAACAAATACACATGATAATGACGATGATAGCTAGAATAGAAGTAGTAACTAGTAACAATGATAACAATACTATATAATAGTGATAACACAATGATCAACAATAACGATAACAACAACAATACTATACACTACTATACATATAGAGATCAACCTTATAGTCTATAGTTTAGACAACACCGTGTCTTAATCATTTAATACATTGTAGGCCCAAGGGATTTTTCAAGTTCTTTGGCTGAGCGCAAATGGCATGAGCCTCAGTAGCCTTTGTCGTTGCTCTGACCCAGCCATGGGTGGACCCCTTCGGAGGTTGAGAACTCTTCGCTGGTCGGGAAGTGCTTGAGACACGTGGCATGCGAGCTACTGAGAGGGATGAGCCAGGAGATGCTCATCAAATTTCTGTTTCCACAAATCGGTTGCAGAGGGTTTCAGAAGTTTTAATGCTTAGAGCCAGACTCGTGATCTGCTACCAGGAACACCAAGATTTCATCGTGACGTGTCCTTCTTTTGATATGGAATGTGCTCGCAGCTTAATTGTGCAAAAAAATAGTATTTGTCGCCAATAAGTTCAGTCGAGTCCCTGATGCCTGGTGCGACTCTGTTCAAGTCAAGGTGTTCCTGATGAGGTTTGAGCCCTGCGGAGAATTTGTGGGGCTGTGTACTTCATACATCGACTGCTCAGTTGCTCCGAGTGATGACACGTGGCGGCGGCAAGAAAAGTGCGAAGGTCCAGCAGTGTGGTGTGGGATCTGGGGCCCAGAACTGTGAAACAATGCAATCAATAATATTGTATCGCAACATCTGCAGGTAACTGTGATATGGTCAAAAGCATGCGAAACCAATATCAAGACTCACTGACCTGTTGATAGGCACACAATTTACTGTACTGCGATCTTTGATGTCTGACAAACATTTTCCAGTCTTTTCAAAAGACAATTGCTCTGAATAGTTGTGTTTTTGGGGACGGCTTAGTGGCAGAATGATGCCATGTACATGATAGTGGGCCCAGGCTGTCTTGAAGACCTTCCCTTGAATCATGAATGCCATTGCAAAAAAAGCTTGCAGCAAGAGGTTTTCAACCTTGAAATTCGGAAGGATTCACGAACATGACCATGACCATCATGACCCTCTAAATTGAACCATTTAAAGCAAATCGACCACGTGATTCATGCACCGTTCGACTGTCATCTCAGACCTTCGACACAGTCCACCAAGGTGCAGCCTCTCCACCTATTTCGCCCCAGCACTCCGAGTGAGACTGATCCTGGTGATCCAGTCGTTGATCTCGGCGTGGAAAAAAGTTTTAGGCCGAATTGCTGGCAAATGTGACCGAATTACTCGGCGATGACGAACACTTGACGAGAACTCACTCGCCTCTTTTTCCTGCCTCTACGGCTGCGGTGTGATGGTTTTCTCGTATAGCTACAGTCGAACTCACGAGGCTCAGTCCTGGTTGGCATGCTTTTGAATCGGTTTGCAGGGATTCAGACTTGGTGTCCCACTGGGTCCAAGTCTTACAGATGTTTGGCTTAATGAAGAGACCGAGGTTAAACTTATCAGAGACCGTTCAGCCACACGGTGTGGCCGTGGCGGCCACGGCACGAAATCCCCCGTTGGGCGCGCTTGACGGGTGTGGTGGGGTGTGATCTCCTTTCATTGGGTCAACGGTGTGATCTTCATGTCGGCGTGGGACCTGAAAAAAAGTCCAAACACCTCTGGGCCTCTGGGTTCATTTTGTTCCATGGAAGACAGGGTTCCTGGGTCTTGACTTGACTCATAGAGATGCAACCAGCTTGATCTGGATGTATTTGGATCTTGGGTAGATTGGTTGCTTGCGGCAGATTCGGTCACTGAATCAAGGGTTCCTTTCTTGGTGCCCTTTTGGAGATTGAGCTGGCGCATCCCCTCACTCAGTCATGAAGAACGCTGTTTCTTTGGAAGAGTCAACACAAATCAAAAACCAAACGTGCTGGCTGATTTGATAGTAGCTAGTACTCTACACCACGAGAAGATCTGGCCAAAACATGCTAGCGGATGGAAGCAGCCAGCATTCAAGCCACTGAAAGATGAGTGATTCAGACCTGAGAAGCTTCAGTTCGGAACTCAGAACATTGAGTTGAACAGTTGAACTCAAAACAAGGGATTTGGAATGCGCAAGAGTTGCACATAGCCACTGAGGGGATGCATAAGGAGTACAGCATCTCCAGCCACCTCATGCTTCTCCACGATTTCACCTACACCATTTTGCCGCCAATGGAGCTTCAAATCCTTAGGAGATGAATAGCTGCTTTGGAACACCTGGGTTGCACTTGTTTTACAAGAACATCCAAGCGCAAGATATAAGATAACATTATATAACTGCTGCATGTCGACCTTATCTGAGACCCTCCTGGTCAAAAGGAAAGAACATTAGTGTACTTGGAACATGTTTGCCATGACCTGTTTAGACACGACCAGCCCTGTTGGTGTCCATGCTTCCACCACCTGGAGAGGATGTCAACACCTTTCAAGTCCTGGAAGCTGAACGCAAATCGCCCTGTTGGTGTCCATGCAATGCCCAGATTTTTCTTGCAGAAAACTGTAGGCAGAAATTGATAGAAAACGTATGCAGAAACAGATGCAGGAAACTTGGTATTTTTGAACATCGCTATCATCACTGGTGTCGCAATGGTTTGTTGATATTTGTTGCATTTTGTTGCTATATATTTTGATTATACATGATTATACATATTATATATAATCGTGTCTCGCAGCGCGTGGAGCATGCGGTTGAACAAAATATAATCGTCCCGTGAACCATTTACGTAATCATTTACTGAAACCATCGGGCCACGAATCACGGTGCACTTTCCTTTGGTTGAAACACGGGCGATAGGGTTGGCAAGAAGGAACTCCACAATTAGCAGCTCAGCTGCAGACTTTTCCACAGACAGCAGCTAGAAACAACATACAAAGTGTTTGCAACACACAAAGGGCATCAAAGGTCCTATTTTGGGACGTGCTGTGATCCTTTGTCATGTTCGTTTTTGTAACAAACGTTTTCCGTACGTTGTTGTGCGCAACTGAACCAAACCCCCAAAACAGCTCTTTTTTGTGTGTTGCTTCAGCTCTTTGCACTTGCAGGCAAGCCCCAACAAGAATTGCCGCAAGTCCGAACTTACTGTCTCAAAAGACACACTCACACAGAATCGCGTGTGCTCCTTTTTGCACAAGGTTTTGAAGCTCCAGTTCAGCGCACAGACGAAAACGGCAGAACAAAGCGGATGTGGATGCCACAGTTGCCTGGGGTGATTTCTCACACTGAGGGCAGGTTGGCAACCAAGAATTAGACAAAAAGGACCAACTAGTGGAGGATGGTATGGACATGTATGGACATATATGGAATAGGGCCTAAGGCCCGCCAGACGAACAGATGATTGGAGGTGGAGAACTGCATTCTTGATCGTTGTGATGCAGATCTCCAACTCTTCATCATTGTACTTTGATGATGCAAGTCCTGGGAATATAATTCTGCTATGTTGCAACTAAGCACACTATCTCGCGAAGCTTCGCATGCTGCTACCGTTTACTACCCATGCACTCAGACATGGTCAAGCATACTTAGCTCGGGACCCTAGAAACGGTTGTTTGAGCTCTGGAAGGGAATCATGGAAGCTTTGGTCGACAACCTAGAATGAGAAAGCACCCGATTTTGATGGTCTTCCACTTTGGCAGCTTTGTTTTGCAGTTCAGTTCTGGCAGGGGGATGCTGAAGACAAGGCCGCGGCTGGAGAGGAATCATTGATTGAAGTTGTCCTTCTTTTTCTGGGGACACATGGAATTTCGCTTTGGAGTGTGGAACAAGGGCCACAAAATCTTCTCTCGGTCCGGGTGGGGCCGCGGCGACCGGATCGCTCGCGGCTCATCGCTCATCGGTTTGAAGAAGAGTTACGAGCACGGTGTCCGATCCCAATCCATCCAGATGATCTTCAATCGCCAGGGCCATAGAAAACGCCTAGCAACCTTTGCTGATGTTGGCAAGGGTTTGGAGAGGGGTCATTTCACTACAGTCATTTACAGTAGTTTTTGATGCTAGCGGCTAGCGCTCTGAACGTTTGGTGTCCTTTCAAGCAAAATGAAGTGGCCAGTCCCCACATCAGATTCCATGTTCAGTAGTCTCCTTTGCCGTTGCCTCAGTCTTTTTTAAATAGTTGTTGTGCGCATTTTGTGATTTCTGGAAATAGCAGTTGGGGGTCGCTCATGGTAGCTGTGGTTCTAAAGTTGATAAAAGTGGGTCGCAGCTTTGTTGTTTTTCCTGCAGAGTGGTTGCTTTGGATGCCTTTTTTCTTGAGGGTTTGGAGTGTATGAAATGTGGTGTCGCAAAACGAAGCCAAAACGAAGCCTCAAACGAAGCCAAAATCCACGAACAAAGATGAAAAAAGTATCGTTTGTAGACCCTGCCCCAAATGCCCTGTACTGTAAGAAGTTCCTTTGCTGTACTGGTAGTTTCTTTTTGCTGTACTTCATTTTCAAGGTCTAGTGGTAATCTAACTCACCTGGTGAACAGACAGAGCATAGTAGCCAAACTGGTGCAATTCCTTGGAAAAGAAAGCCGGAAAACCAAAAACAAAGCCTCAGTAGAACGATCAAATTTTGGATCTTTAATTTTGAGAGTCGCTCATTTTTCTGTGTAAATCGTTTGCAAGACATTTGCAAGCCCCATCCTTTTCAGCCCTCATATAGAACCTCGTACCATGCCGGCAGGAGAACCGTATATAGTACATTGTAGTACATCTATATAACTATTATATATCTCGCATATCACATCGGATGGTGAACATGTGTGTTGCGGAGTCGAGTCAAACAGAAGGCAAGTCGCTTGCACACCTGATGCCGATACGGCCAACACCGCCAGGTATTTGCGCCGTCTGCTCCCGTACCCAAAGGCCCTAAGGCACCGGGACCGCACAACGCGGACTGGTTCCGCCTGTCTGATGATCATTTTTTAAAGCCCGTGGCCCTGCCTCCTTTTGCTTATATAATTAAGTAGTAGGAGCCTACTTAATTCTCTAAGTAAGCGAGAAGTAAGCTACTGTATGTTACCAACTTGTATGTTGAAAACATTGGGATCGTTCCGAAGTGACACAGCCATGGTTTGGTGGGCTGGATGGGTACGCTATGGTAAATCAGCAAGTTCAAGACAGTCTGCTTCGCCCCCCCGAAAGTAACAAACACACGGATTCTGCAGCTCTAGTGGAGTAGAGATCGCTCAAGCGACTGTTGACTGTTACCCATCTGTCTGTGAGATACTATCTGGAATGCTCAGCATATCCTTGATACGTTTTTACAAACATGATCCCATGATGCGCCTTCATAATGGGCTTCTTAGGCTAGGGCCCATGGAAACAACGAGATGAGTGATTTGGTTCTTCAACTTGGGCGTGCTTCTAGTGGAACGAGGCACTGCGGCCTGCGTCGGCATCACCGCCCAAGGCCGCTTCAGCAGAAGCAAATCGGAGCGTGAAACAACTGGTTCAGGTGCTACGTTATCCTTTGAGATCCTGAAACGGAGCAGATGTTTGATTATTCTACCTTCTTTGATGGGACCACAAGTGGTTAGCAAAGGCACAAAAAACAACACAGCACAAACCCCCTCCCCTCCTCCCCTCTCCCCTCTCCCCTCTCCCCACCCCACCTCCCCTCTCCTCCTCCTT